ATATTATAACAATCCTTTTAAAATAATGTTAACATATAAACAGTTTTTCAAATTGATATTAATAATTAATATATTGTTATGGAAATTTGTATTTTACAATAAAAGATTTTGCAATAATTTTTCTTAATATTTATTTCTACCGAAGGAAATAAATTTCTATTTTTTTCATTTTAACTCAAATTTCGATTGTTATTAAAAAGACTTTTTAATTATTTTATTTGTTATCTTAAAAACAAATCAAATGATAAAAATATTATTTTTATTAATAATATTATTATATTAATAATTAATATTTCAAAATTTTTAAAAAATAGAAATATATAACGTAAAGAAAAATTTTAAAAACTGCAATGTGAATAATAAAGAAGATTAATCAGTTATTTGTCGCATTTTAATCATAAAATTCATCAAATTTATTAAAAAATGTCAGAAAGTTTATTAATATTATAAATAATTGTTTAACAAAAAATCAAAATGAAAATATTAATAAAAACATTACACTTATTATTGAAGAATTAAAATTAAGAAATAAAAAGAAATAGAAGAAAAAAGAAAGAGAAAGCACAAGGAGGAAACAAGAGACTTAATATAAAAAAGATTTCGATTATCTGAAATATTCATTTCAGCATTTAAATATGAGAATTCCTATATTTTCATATGTTTCAAAATAATTTAATAATAATTATTAAATTCATAATTAGATATCTTAAGTACGAAACATTCATTAATGAACAATAATTTCTGCAAATATCGCAAAATTTATATATATATGACGTGTCTTAACAAATAAATAATAAATATCTTATTATATAAATTTATTATAATATCATAAATCTTTTTTTAAATGTATTGAACACATATCTTTCATTATACATATAATTTATTATAATATATTTTTTATCTAACGTTTAAAATAAAAAGAGACGATTAAAAATGAATCGCGCCATTATTCGCTTACGCGTACGTTTTTTCTGGTATGTGACGTACTCTGTGACAATCTGCTTATTCAGCTGAAGAAAGAATAATAACCTCCTACTAGAAATATTGCTTCGTAATATTAATAATTAATTATTAATAATTACACAGATTAATTACTATATATATTTGTATATTGTATATTATGTATAACATTACGTATAATATATAATAATATATTTTTCTATAATAATAAAATAAAAATCCGAATTAAATATATGTATTTAGGAAAAATGGAAATAATTTGTATAATAAATGAGAAAAGTTCGTTTGAAAATAGTTAATGAAAAAGATCCAATGACGAATCAAGATCCAATACGAATCATGATATTATGCGTTTGAAAAGAACTATATTTCGTAATAGATAAACAAATTAACATGATTAACGTGATGCAAACTAACATGTTCTGCAAGCATATAATTCGTCATGCAAATTCGAATGTAGCTGTGAAAAAACACTACTTTTTGTCACGATTATCAGGCTATTCTTGTGGAATTATGTGTATTTGCACACGAAGATGGATACTTTTTAAACGTTATATGAGCATACTAGAAGCTACTTTTTTATAATCAGATACGTCAATATAATTTGCATATTTACGATACATTTTATATTTTATATTTGCAAAACATATAATATTATTAACACATAATAAATGTCACAGATTCATGCAATTTTTCTTAATTAATACTCGTATAAAAACGAAAAATTATAAATATTAATTATTACAATATTTAATATCTTTTTAAGAATTATATATATATGGACGGAACATGGGGCACTGGCATTGAAACGATTTTTCATAGAAGACATTTGCAAGGTCACTTAAAGCAAGGCACACAAACGTCCGTTATGTAAGATTATTCCTATAAGCTTAAGATTTCAGGTATGTGCGTTTCTCATAATTTATACATTTATGTATGATGGATATATACATAGAAAGGAAAGAAAAAAAAAGATAGAGCATGCTTGTACGTAGATGTATATGATATATACGCGACTGCACATGTGTATATTTTCAAAGAAATAATACCAAAAGGAATGGTAAAAAAGAATGGAAGAAGAATGTATCTGTATTTGCGTGTATGTAATGTACACGGAACAAATAAAACGTCAGCATGAAATTGATATTTGCTGAATATAGATAATCGTAAAAATGTGCGTAAAAATAAAAAAAAAAAAATAATAAAAAAGAGAAGAAAAAAAGTTTAATATTTATCAAAAATGGAAAGTCTAGAAATTTAACAGATTCATCTCTAATTATAAATATTAAGCATCGAAAAATGATTTTCATTTTTTTTCGTTAGGCACGTATAATTGTTAATGAAATCATTGACGTTATCACGCTAATATGTAACGTGCTGATGATAGATAATAGTCATCTTCAATAGTATTTATCTGTCGTTCTACGAATGGTAAACTTCCATTTAGAGAGTAGGAATATTCGGAATTCCAATCACGATGAAAAATATTTTCCAATTGTTGCCTAAGATTGTTCAAAGTTTGATCGCCGATTGTCTCAAATACTGTACCAATACCTAATGCATCAATAACAAATTTCATATATTTTATTATTGATTAAGTAATAAAATAGAATAAGAGAAAAGAAAAAAGAAAAAAAATAATTGCCTGCAGTGTTTATGAAATAATCGCCAGACCAGTTGCTTGTACCTATATATGCAGTTGCATCAGTCACCATATACTTATTATGATTTACTCTTGAAAATGGTATTTTATCAAAATCAGGATTAGTAGGAACTACAAATCTTTTCTGAAAAATAAAATTAATATAAATGCAATGTCATATAGAAGATATGAGTATAATTATATTATAGAAATATATGAAACGTAAATATATGCAAAAACTGACCACTTCGATTTTCACACCTGTGTAACTATCTGTCAATTCCATAAGAGACTTCAAAAAAGAAAATTCTAATTTACTTGAATATTTCCATGATGATATTAACAATCGTATATGTATTTTACGTTCGATTGCTGCAGTTCTCAATGCATCGTCTATTATCGGCCAATACCTGTACCATATAAATAAAGATATAGATAAAAAGTCAAATTTGTAATATAGAAATACTTATGTGCAAAATTAAAGAAACATTATGTGCAAAAATTACTGATATTTAAATTATTATAACTTTATAAAAAGAAATCATTTTAAATCTATATTAATTAAATTTTTTTAAAAATTAAATTCATTTTTTGTTATATAAATGCAGTGCGAAGTTTTTTTTCTAAAATTTTACAAATTTTACAAAGTTAAAAAATTTTTTTTGCGATTTGTTTAAATATTATTTCCTACAAAAAAATCTTTCCTTTACAACGAATTCTAAAAACTCTATTTACGATTTTTTTTATTGTTTTATCGCACTTTAAATAAAAAATAGATTATCGACCATATTAAGTATAATTACTTAAACAAGTATTCAAATTAAACACATAATTAAGTTTAATAATTTATATCTTTGTTAGTTATGAACTCAAACTTGTTTCTTTTGATAGATTTATATAATATATATAATATATATAATATATAATATAAATATA